AAAAAAAGCCAGTTTGCAGCAAATTGAGTTTTTTATTTTGTTTTTTGTCACGCTTCATATTTCCCATTTGAATTCGCTAGAAACAATGCCGAATCGATTAAACGATAACAAAAAAAAAAAACAACAACAACAAAGAAAAAAACGATAAACAGACATTCGAGATGAGTCCGTTTCTGTTGGCCCTCATTTTGTTTACTTTGCCCAGCTATTGTTCATCGCATTATAAGTCAGCCTCCCCCTACCCCTGCCCCTCCCCTGTCCCCACAAAAGCCTTTGTTTACACGCATGCCCTATTATATCGCTTGCATATAAAACGTTTTTATCGGGCCTTCATAATTTGATTATTGGCAAAATGCATGAATGTTAATCATTTTTTGTGCCCGGGCCCAATTGAAATTGGGCAGGCAAAAAAGCACAATGTTTTTCTGCAAATCCAATTAACAGACAGAAGGCAGCATCTGCAATCCCATTAACTATATATACATATATATGTATATATATATATACCTGATCAGCAGGACGAGCTGAGGCAGACGTCTGCCTGTCTGTCTGTGCCAGCGACTTATATCGATAAATATCGATTTTTAGATCTGTTTACTTAAGCTAAGCTCGCGAATAAAACAAGCTAGATGCAGCTAATTTGGTGAATAACTCCTCGCACTCAGACCTTGCCTTGTAGAAAACTCATTTCAGGAGTTAGAGCCTTGCACTTTGGTATCTACGCACTTTTGTAGGCCAACTTGAAGCCCTGAAAATTTCATTAAGATCGGACTGTGAATAGCCAAGTTAAATGGGACTGCTTTATGCATATATGATCAGGAGCAGAAGCGAAGAGGAAGCACAGCTGTTGCTTAACTATGTTTATTATGAAGAGTGTGTAGAGTGTGAGGGTCTTAAAATTTTGTTGTGGAATGTGTAACGCTCCGATCCAATAGGGTAAAAGTATATATATTCTAGATCAGCATCAAGAGCCGACTTCAAATAGACATGTTCGTCCATCTGTCTATTTCTATGCGAACTAGACTCTTAGTTTAATAGATATCCTCTTGAAACTTTAAAAAAGTTATATAGAACACAGTACTATGTCTGATCGGACCACACTATAGCATATAGCTGCCATAGGAACAATCGAAAAGTAGGTTCTTGCATGAAAAACTAATCTTTTGCTTATCAAGTTATCTAGAGGAACACTGGCATTGAATATTAAAACAATGCTACCTATATAAGTATATCCAGCCATATCTTATCAAGATCATACTTCTATATAATATATATAGCTGTATGGGAAGAATCGGCCGAAAAATGGGCTCAAGTATGAACTACTTTATGATTTAGCAAGATATCTTTATGCTCAACAGATCGGACAACTATATCATATAGCTGCCATAGGAAAGATCCGTCCAAAAGTAGGTTTTCATTAAACTCAGCATTTACGAGCGAGCTTCTCGCTTCAGACTTATCTGCAAAAGGCAAATGTTTGCCAGGCTATTAGATCTTCTTTCTTTCTTTCTGCTTTTATTGGGTATGTGTAGAAGTAAGCTAAGGGCTGCTTTAAGGGTAACTGCTAACTAGAGGACTCTTGCTCTTCTTTATCTCATCTTAACTTATCTTATCTATATCATATCTATGGGAACAATTGCTATATGATATAGTTGTCATAGGAACAATCGGTATATATTTGATTTGTAGCATGAAAACCCTGAAGTCAACTGCCTGTTAGCTCTTTTCCAGCTGACTTTAAAGCTAGATTAGCTAGTTTTTCAGTTCTTTTACTTCGAATTGCAATTGGGCTATGACAAATTCGAATTTCAGTTGAGCACCAGAAATGAGAGATATTTGTTTGGGGAATGCAATTTTCCAAGCAGATGTGGCTGGCAACGCCTTTTTAGACGCCCCACGACAAATTTCGTCAACACCAACTCACAAATTATGTTCTTGTTCTTGTTCTTGTTGTTGTTGTTGTTAAGTGAGTGCCAGAGTCAAGTTGTAAGCGCACTCGTCAAATTACCAACGGCAAAAGGAAAACCTGTCTCACTCTCTGCCTCTCTCTCTCTCGCTCCTATATTATTTGAGGGTTGCGGTCGCTGGTTCGAGTCCTCGAGACAAGGGTTGGCGTGTGTAAATATTTGAACATTTGTAGAAAAATATGGTTTATGCTGTGCTAATAGCCCGGCATTTGCCTGTCATTTGATCGCCAACAAATGTCCTGATTCGCCATCGGCTTTAAGATACCCTCGACTCGCAATCCGCAATCCGCAACCCCTCCTCCTCCTCCCCCTCATCCGATTCAGATTTAGATTGTTAACATTTCAATCAGTTGTGTTTGTTCTGCGCACATAATTATCAGATCAAGCCATATATAGTTATGCATTGTCCCTGCCCTTGCGCACAATTCTCTAGAGCTCTCGCTTGAAAGCACTTTAAAGAGCTTCGAGCAAATGCAAAGCAAAAGCTGTTCCGGCTGTGATAGCTATCTGCTTGCTAGAATTATAAGAAGAGCTTTGAGCTTCGAGAAGCAGATACTGCTCCTGATCATATATGCATAAAGCAGTCCCATTTAACTTGGCTATTCACAGTCCGATCTTAATGAAACTTTCAGGACTTCAAGTTGGCCTACAAAAGTGCATAGATACCAAAGTGCAAGGCTCTAACTCCTGAAATGAGTTTTCTACAATGCAAGGTCTGAGTGCGAGGAGTTATTCAAAAAGTATATTTTATAGAAGAACCCACAACCCAAATTAGCTGCATCTAGCTCCATTTTATCGCGAGCTTAGCTTAAGTAAACAGATCTCAAAATCGATATTTATCGATATAAGGAAATCGTATGCACATGCATGTTATGGGAGAACTCGCCCTCGCCCTGATCACGAATATTGTAAACTTCTTTATTTTCGAATTTCTCGTTTCTCTTAATTTCATGTCTTCTCATTCTTCTTCCTTAAGAGTGACCAGCTTCTATTTGGTATAATACTATTATACGGTTTATACTACAATTCCTTTACAACACTAGACGTTGTGGCTGTTGACTTTTAAAAGAGTACCTAAATGTTCACAACATTTACAATATAGTATATACTCTATTTGATTGGAGATGCTGCTTCTGCTGCCTCTTCAAGCCAATTTGCATGTGTTGGGTGCCTGAAAAGCCTTTTTCTCTAACGTTTTACAACACTAAAATTGCCGAAACTCTCGCACTTTTACAACTTTTACGCCGCGTCATGAATAAGCTATGGCTAAAAATGCACTCATAGTTAGCTGGCAGCCAGCCAGGCATGTGTGTGTGTGTGTGCTCCACTTAGCCAGGACTCTTTCAGCTGGGGAATCTTGCTGGTAAAATCTGTGATTTTAGCCGCCTTTGTGACATGTAATTGTACACCTCAAATGGCAAAATGAAATGCGCTCTCAGCACCACTTTTAGCCCTGCTATGAGAAGGGGAAGTGGGAGGGTCGGTGCTGAATAGAGCTCGACAACCCTAGTCGGCAACCCTAACCACAGCGAAGTCGGCGGCACCACCCGCTGCACTCACTTGTTTCGCGAGTCATGATAAAAACTATAAATTAATTATTACCGCGGCGCACTTGAAAGCGCAACAGAGTCGCAGCGCACACAGGGGCGGGGCCAGGGGCATGGACGGGGGCGGGGGGGCGGAGGCACACACACACACACATGTGCCCCGGGGGTCGGCTTGTTCGACTAGGCTCGCCGTGTCGCCCGGAGAGCACTTTAGAGCGACACCCAAAAGCGAAGCATTCAATTGGAATAATCGCGCACTAATCGTCTAACCGAGATCATCGGCGGATTGTCGGCTAAAAAGGATGGGCGAGAGGAGAGGGGGGGGGGGGGTGGAGGGGGTAGGGGTGGGGTTTGGTGGTTGGCCCTAAATCGCATCAGTGCACAAATTGCCTACGCTGGCTGCGAATGCGTCTGCTCAAAGACCAATTCAGTTGAACAACTGTTGCAATAAATTGCAAATCAGCCCCTGTCCGCGCAGCTCGATAACTTTACCTATCGATACATATCGATTTACAGCTTATACTTTCGGAAAACCCTTTTAACTTTTTTGTCTACTTTCTTATACAAAGATACATATCGATTTCAGCTTCCAGTTTAAAAGAGACTTTTTGTATATCGAGCACAGCACACGTTTACTTTTTGTCGATAACTTTATCAATCGATATATATCGATTTTTAGTTTTTGATTTCTCAACGACTTCTTGAACATATATAAAACACAGTATATGTTTCCGTTTTTGTAGAGCACTTTTTGTATCGATATATATCGATTTTCAGTTTACAATCCAGGTCGATAACTTTGTATATCGATACATTCAGATTTTCAGCTTTCAATTTTGTTAAACGCATCGAATTTATAGTTTCAAATATTATATAACATAGCATGTGTTTGACTTTTTTGTCGATAACTTGATACATCGATTTATATCGATCATCTGATTTAGAGGCACAAGTTTTGAACGTAGCGTCAAGAATATAAGATGTAGCAAAGGTTGCTTTTTATCGACAACTTTATACATGGATTTTCAGCTTCCAATTGTTTAAAACTCATCGATTTGAGAAGAAAGCAAAGTTGACTTTTTGTCGATAACTTTGTCTATCGACTTTGCACCAACTCAATCTACGTAACTCCTGATCTATCTGGCCTCATTATAGAATGAAAGACCAGCTAGCTTGATAGAGCGACGAACACAAGACTTCTAAGTAGCTACATCTAAATTATTTTTATTTGACTTGAAATGTGGGCTCTCAGATAAAGTTTCTTTATGTCTATCGATGAACTTAACCAAAATCGATAAGTATCATATATAAATATCGACCCACAATTGACACTTCAAAGGGAATACCCTTCATCTTTGGTATAAAAATCCATCTTCAATAAGATGAAAAGCTCAAAAGTTATTTCGAAATACAATTTCCATGTGTGTAGAGCTGGCGATCGTGCACACTCTTCGTTACATATTTCTAGGGTATTTTTGGTACTCACTTGTATTCGGGCCTCGTTTAGCTTTGTCGTGCGCGCCAGCTCTTCGCGACAGTAAATATCCGGGTAATGCGATTTGGCGAATGCAGCTTCCAGTTCAGCTAATTGTTCCTGAAATTAAGCGGATTTTAATTAGGCTAATTTGTTGTTATATAAGCTACACTCACGCAAATACATGCTCTCTCTCGCTCTCTCTCTCTCTGCCTTACTCTTTAATTTTGTTTTTTTGACTTTTTGTTGCTTGTTTATGCTGAATAAGACAGTGGGGGAGGGGGGAGCCGGAGCCAGAACATTTTCTATTCCCATTGCTCACTTTCAGCGTCGAAATGCAAATTGTGTTGCCTACTTTGGGGCATGTCAAAAGTTTCAGAGCTGCCAAGCTGCCGAATTTCCATTAGAAAGCAGTGTTGAAAAGTGACCAGCGAAACAAAAAACGAAAGAAAAAAAATACTAATACTGTGCCTTAAGCTGTCTCAGCTAAACGGGCTGCAAATGGAGCTTAGTTGGCTGTCAAAGCAGTCTATGCAGAGCTGTCGATGGCCTTAAGAGTTATCGAATTATCGACTGCTTGAGCCACACTGAAGCTTAACGAGTTGTATGATCTTTAATTACACAGTTATTTCAAGTGTGACCATAGCTAGGAGCTAGTAAATAGTAATTTTAAAGTGTGACCATAGCTAGAAGCTAGTAACTAGTAACTCTAAAGTGTGACCATAGCTTGGAGTTAGTAACTATGGTCACACTTTAAATCTGATTAACGATTAGATATCTGAGTGCTTCGCTTAAAAATTTGAGCTCTCTTTAAGATTCGCTTCATAAAGCTGATGTTCTACAATTATGAATACAGGCTTTAGCTTTATTTTCATATAATTTTCAAGGAGTTTAATAAATATAAAATTATGAGATTCAAGCGATATATGCATCGATATGAAAATAAGATATGTATTTCAAGTTATATCGATGTTGAAGATAAGAAAAACAGAATACTTCAAGCTTCGATATTTGACTTAGTTGTTTAGCTGTCTCGAAGTCCTTCAACTAAACAAATTTTTAATAAAATGGAAAGGTCGCCAAAAGCCAAATAAATATATAGAATAGGGAAAAAGAATACTAACTTGACAATTTACAAGATTCAATTTAAGCAATGCAAAAGCTGTAGACTTGGGAATATAAGATATATATTCTCTCAAGCTAAGCGCGGCAAGAGTTTACAGTTTATGTCATCGATATATTCTACTATCTGACCGATGACGATATATATCGATGTTGAGATGAACGTTTTTTAAGCATAGCTTTTGAATACCTGCCAGTTCCCTTACAATTGTAAGAAATTCACTCTCGCAGCTATAAACTTCGATTTTGGTATTACAAATAATTATATGCATTATTTATGCGCTCCAAATTTGATACGAATCGAACAATAGAGTCCGACGCGCACGTAATTTGCGCTCTATACGAAATTGTCAACTAGTTTGTGTCTAACATGTCTCTGGTTGGCTTTTATTAGGTTAAGTTAAAGATTTTTATTTAAAAAATTGTTTTTATTATCTTAAATTTCGTGCGGTTCAGCTTTTTTGAAGCAAGTGTTTGATAACAAGGAAAGTTGTTTGAAACGCTTCAGATCGAAAAACGGATTGTTTACAGCACTACAGCGTACGTTTTGCAACACTTGTTTGCACTTTGGACGCGTCTGCTGATTAGATTTCTAATCATGATTAAATATCGCCTCGTTTAGGCTGTAACTAGACGGGGCACAACAACAACCGAGGAAAGATACTTGCTGTTGTTGTTGTTAGCCCGTCGTTAACTTGGAAAATGCCAAAGTTTTAATTACAAGCGTAACCTTCACGAAATCTAATTAAAATTTCTCACTACGTGCAACAGCAAAAGGGAGTTTGGGGCAGGCAGAGAGAGAGAGAAAGGGAGAGAGAGAGAGAGAGCGCAGCAGGGAATACCCCTAATGTATGTAGATGAGCTCCATTATATATATATATACATATGTGTGTATAGCCTGGCACTGACCTGTGTGAATGTGGTTCGATGTCTTCGTCTGGCTGGCGTTGGGCAGGATGCTGTGGTTGGGGTATGCCCGGCATGCTGACTCAGCGAGGAGAGTCCACTTCCGGGCGATGTGATGCCGGCGGAAACCGTTGACAGGCCGCTGTTGGGTTCCGGTTTGAGTTTCTTGAATGCACCTTCGGCTGCAATAAAACATAAAACATTATTATTATCTATAAATAAAAGATTGAAAAAAGACTGCCCGACTGATTGGCGATCAGGAGGCAGAAGTTTTCGACAGAATTCAACTTTCAAGTGGGGTAAAATGGCGAACAAAGTTGTAAGTTTAAGTTTACTGAGCGTCGGATCTGCGAGCGAGAAGTTGTCGGTTCAAATTCAACAAAAATTCTCAATTTTTATGGTTTTTTATTTAATTAACTTTTTGTGATCTAAATGTCTGCGCGCCGCACGAGAAGTCGCCGGTTCAAATACTTTCGAAATCATCATTTTTACGCTTGTTTATGTCGCTAGAAGTCGCTGGTTCAAATCCAACAGAAATGTTTCATTCTTATAGCTAGACGATGCCGTTTCAAATCGAGCTGATGTTTTTTATTTTGATCCCATTTTATTTTATTTGTCCTATAAGCCTGTATGGGAATTACTGTGGCTAGGATCAACAAGCTAGAAGTTGCTGGTTCAAATTTTCCCCCTTTATGCTTGTTTATTTAACTCTATGGGCCTATAACCCTTAGATGTCTGGGCGTTGAACCAGCAAGCGAGAAGTCGCCGGCTCAAATCACGCAAAAATGTTCAAATTTAAGAACTTTTTATTTCTACAACAAAAAAGCGAAAGTAATCAACTTTTTTAAATGAATAATTAAAGTTTTTCTACAAGTTTCCTTTGTCTGTGTGTATTTTACAAAGAATTTAATTGAGCTGGACGCCGCCGGGTAATTTATTTGAAGCGAAAAGTAGGCAACACGAATTTAATGTTTTCTGTTTTCTGGCTGGCGTTTAATATGCGGCAAACGATTATCCTGCCCGCCCGCTTGTTGCATAATTATGCCCCAGCAACAACAACAACAAGGAGCAGGAGCAGGAGGAAGAGGAGGAAAGGGCAAAGGAGGAGCAGGCGAACAACAACAACAAGAATGGCGACCGCAGTGCGGCCACAAGACATCGCGACGACGACGTCTACTTGTCCAGAGTTTTGGGTCACGTCGCCGGGTCGCATGAATATGCAATATGGGATAATTTATGCAAATTTCTGCCACATTAATCGAGCTGGCGTTCGCCGGGTCACCTGCCTGCCACCTGGCTGCCACCTGGCTGCTGCCAAAAGGCGGCAAATTACACGGCCAAAGGTCAAAGCGCAAAGCGCAAGCTAAGCTGGCCGCAAGTAGGGAGCAGTGGGCGGGCATACAGCTTTAGCTACGGCTTGGCAGGAAGTCATCAGAGCCGCTGCCCTCTGAACTCTGACCTCTGACCAGCCTTGGCGCTTAATTGGCGCGCTTAGCTCGTTAACAAAATTTAAACTATGTATACATTTTTGGGGCCGGTTCACACTAATTGAATAACACACAAAAGTGCTCGCTACCCATTTTGCCCCCGCCCACAGGTGGGCGTAAAGGTGCCATTTATTTATGTTAAGCCAGTCTCATTGCCTCCCTCTTCCACTCTCTCTCTCTCGCTCTTATGCTCTCTTGACCTTGCGGCCAGGTCTGGCCAACAAGGTCAAATAGCTAAGCGCGTGTCCTGTTTTGCACATTTCCGTTTTTTGTGCTCTGTTCTCAAAAGCGATCCTCCAAGCATTTAATTAAATAAACTCTATTGTATAACTAGCTCGGGCAAACTGTGCTCAAGTTCAGCTGCAAAAACTCTCGGTTTAAAAGCTTATTGCCTCAATCAATTGAGAATTCTCTATATTGTATATCTATCAATTGCCGTACTCAAGCTTAGTTCTTAGTTCTCTGCAAAGACGCTCGAGTTGCCTTTAAAGGACAATTGCCTTAACCAATTGCGAATTATAAGCGCGTTCTTGTCAGCGTTGCCAGATCAAAGCGGCTCAGTTCGTTTGTAGTTTCTTATACGTTTTCTTGCTAAATATTGAAAATTGATTCATAATATTTGATTCTATACAAATAAGTATATCTAGCTTAAAGCAGTTGAAGATCTCAGGATTGAATATTATTTCGGAACTTTGGATCAAGCGTCAAGAAAGCGTCTTTTCAAAAGTGCTTCGATTTAACTAAAAGTGGAATACCCCTAATCTTTGGAAAATCAGTTCTTTATCCTTTTGGGCCACTGTTTTAAAAGGAACTTCGATTTTGTTCTCCTGCAAAATGTTTTGCGTTTCGGATGTTGTCACAAATGTTAATCAAGTTTACTTAAAGCGATTTAAATAGATCTGTCTGTAAGATTTTTTTCCCCAATTTTTATTCCTGTACAAATCAACATTGTCAGAAAAATCTATATGAAGTTGTTCTATCAAGACTTTTGAAAATAACTACTGAGATCCCGGAGAATATTGAAAAACGTAATTGATTAATTATTTAATTAGTATTAAATAATTAAGAGAATATGCTACTCTTGCAATACTTTCTTTAGCTTCATAGCAGAAACATTTGAAGAACATTTTCGCATTGAACTATTTGCTTAATGCTTTCTCTCTAAGGTTTAATTTAAAGGACTCTTCCAGAATTGGGCAAACTTTTCTGAGCATTCACATTTTAATTATGGCAATTTCCAAATACTTAGAGACTTTTTGAGAGCAGGACATAAAACGTAGTTAGCAAAAGAACTGAGTCTAAATGCCGACATCATCTCCGATCGGTCGATGAGAATTTATTGAAAGTTCTTTTTAAGACAGATAGAAAAGATATAGATAGAAGTCGCCTTCTAGTTTATATAATATATATAAATTCTTGTTAATCAGGTTCATTCATTTGTCTATCAGCTTCTTGACAAACTTGCATTCATTATTTCACATATTGGACTATCACCTACTATATATTCCATATCATATAGTTGCCATTGGAACAATCGCTTGTGTAAGCTTCAGAAAAGTACTTCAAATGAAACATAACTAAACGCAGCGATTGACACATAAATTCGCTTCTAACAAACAGACAAATTCGTATTCAAATCAAAATTCTATAACATCAGGTTCCTAAAGGAAGAATCGCTCCAAAAAGATATGCCATAAGCTATTCAGATCAAAGTTTTTACCATATCCCAACAATGGCATATAAATGGACTTATGATGTTATCATTTAAATAGTCTTAAATTCAGTCTGATTGTTCCTATATGCTATATAACACCATAAACCGATTTATATACCGTGGCTGGGAACATAATGAACACTTTGTTCTAAGTACCTAAAAGAATCGTCTCATAATGTTATATAGGAACAATGGGAACAATTAGTCTGAATTCGTGATTGTTCCTATATACTATATATATATATATATATATATATATATATATTCTATATATATGTATTTATAAAGGAGTCAATTGTGACTCCATATATTATATATATTCCTGATCGGGAAGACGATAAACTTCTCAACCTTGAAATTTGTTCTTAACATTCTCCCATATCAAATGTGGCCTGCTTTTCTTCGATAATTCTTGGCATTTTCATAATATCGATAAATATCGATTTTGAGATATGTTTATTTAAGTTCAACTCGAGCATTATGAGTGCTAAGCAGACCAAAACTGACAAATTTGCTCTCGTTTCGTCTACAAAGACTTGGAATATTGATTGATTTCTGAATATCTTTCGACTATTTGCCCAGGAATTGGCATAATCGGATTTGAATAAGCTATAGCCGCGCGCCTTGGTATATGCACACTTTTTTTGTGCCATATTTAAGCGCCGAAAATTTCAACAAGTTCGGGCTACAAACAATGAAGTTACAGAAGGTTGGATTTTGAATATATTGTCTGGGGGCAAAAGAGTAGAAGAAGCAGAATTGAGGCGTGTCGAGAGTATTTCGAGAAAAGTTTCATTGTATCAACAATATTCATCAAATATTCGCAGGAGCACAAAGCTGGGCTATTTAAAGGATTCATTCGCCTGCTGGCCTGCTGGAAGGATGTGTGTTCCAGGCGCAGCTGAGTTTTATTTTTCTGTACTCTTGTATTCTTGTAATTTGAATGCCTTTTGGGTGTCACAACAATTGCGATAAGCCGATTGAAATGTGCGCCAAAAAGGGCAAGCGCGAGGGTCGGATCGGGTCGGGTCGGGTCGGGTCGGGTCGGGTCAGCAGCAGCAGGCGATAATCCTTGGCCCGGACGCGTGGCCAGAGCGGTGGAGACAATGGGTTAAGAGCTCTGCCCAAAAGGGCTAATGTGCTTACCTGATATGGTGTGATCGGAGAGGCGCGAGGGCGGCGTATGGGCCGGCGTATGATGGTGCGAGGACGAGTCCATGCCGGGCGTGGGCAGGCCCGAATAGAGGGCGCTGAAGTCCTCGGGCGTGCTGCTGCATTTGCGCTGATGGTTGAGCGAGGAGGAGGAGGACTTGTCCAGCGTGGTGATCGGCGAGCGTGTATCCTGCACGGACGTGGCCAAGCTGAGCAGGCGGTTCTCGTGTGCGCCGCCAATGCCCATCAGGCGATTATCCTGGAACGACATGAATTTCGTGTCCTGCGGTACGCCGCCGCCGCCGCCGCCACCGCCGCCGCCGCCGCCTGCATGCTGCATGCTGCTGGCATGATCCTCGAGCAGGCCCTGCTGCAGGCCGAGCAGGCCACCGACCAGATTCGGACGCAGCTCGTCCATGCTCAGCTTGGCCGCCTGGCCGCAAGCGCCGGCCGCCGAAAAGTTCAGCTGCCGGCTAAATATGGCCGGAAATATGTTGAACTGCTGCGAATCGGCGCTCGATTGCGGACTCAGCCCTAGACTGTGCGGCGCCACGTGCGGCAGGGACGCGCCGCTGGCCACAGATGCCGCTGAAACGCCCGATACGGACGCCGATGCGGCGCTGGCAGCGGCCGCAGCTGCTGCGGCGGCGGCGGCGGCGGCTGATGTGCCTATCGTATGACCTGCTCCCGACGAGCCTGGTCCGTTGCCTATTAACAATGTGGGCGTGACCACGCCTACGCCGTTGCTGCTGTTGCTGCTCAACAGCTGCTGCTGCTGCTGCTGTTGTTGCTGTTGTTGCTGCTGTTGTGTTGCCTGCAACTGTTGTTGTTGTTGCTGATGTGGTGTAGCGCCCGCCGGCAGCTGTTGCTGCTGCTGCTGTTGTTGTTGTTGCTGTTGCAACGGCAGCACCGCGTGCAGCTGGTGTGCGTGCGCGGCCGCTAGGGCGTGTGCGTGACTGTGGGCGTGGCTGCTGTTGCTGCCGTTCGCTGGCAACGGTTGCTGCTGTTGCTGCTGCTGCTGCTGCTGTTGCTGCTGTTGCTGCTGGGTGTTGGTGTTGCTGCTGTTGGTGTTGCCGACGACTCCTAGCACTCCAGCAGCGCCGCCGGCACAACTTTGATGTTTGAAATCCAATTTGTGGCCGGCGTAAAAACGCTGCGTATCGATATACGTTTTGAAGAAATCTATTGAATAATCCAACTGGAGGCTGTAACGCGGCGAACGCGCACGTTTCCCTAAATGAAATTTGTTTAATTAAATGCAAATTAAAATGATGCGCTGACCGACGCTCGATTCAATTTGCTTGTTTTTTTTTCTTTTCTTTTTTATTATTATTATTTTTATTATTTTTTAGTGTTTCTCTTGCGTCGTCTTTGCGCCAATTGACTTGAAGGTTAGCTTGCGCTTCGTTCAGTTTGTGAATGACTTTTTGAATTTGGCGCCGCGTGCGCTTGTCTTTAATTGGCCAGCCTGAAGCTAAGCTTCGTTGAGTTGTCGTTGTTGTTGTTGTTGTTGTCGTCGCACTTAACGCAAATAATGCATTTTGTTATTATTGCCGTGCTCTTCGCTCTCTTGAGACAGACACACACACACACACACGCGCGCACACTTTTTGCAAATGGCGACGGCTTTTGGGCACTTGAAAAAAATACAAAATTCTTATTGGATTTGCGTACAATGCACATGCAAAAAATTGAAAGCAGTTGTTGTTATTTATTTTGTTTTATTATTATTGCTGTTGTTGTTGTTGTTGTTGTTATTGTTGTTGTTATTGTTGTTGTGGTTGGATTTGCACAATGCGGCGTCGCGTTTTGTGGCACCGTTATGTCTAAAGCCGTTGCAGCGACTGTTGGTTTTGTTGGTTTGTTGCCGCTGCCAAAGCAAAAAAGCGGCGACGCCGACGGCGACGGCGTGCAAAAATAACGGCACAAAAAAAAAATGATAGAAAACCAAACCAAACGCCACTAAAAAACACAACAACAAGCCAGCGCCCACGCACACATCTAAACAAATGTGTTTTTTATATTATGCTGGCCAAATTGTCGCAACTATTGTGAATTGTTTTGTTGTTGCTGTTGTTGTTGTTGTTGTTGTCGCACGCACAACACGGTATGTATTCACGGCCGATCAAACTTAAAATGATATACAATTTCAGGCAACATACAAAATTATAACGAAATTAAGGATCATGTGCTCAGCACGATGCTGCGCTGCGCTGCGCTGCTCAGCTGCTGCTGCTGCTGCTGTTGCTGTCGCTGTCGCTGTCGCTGCTGCTGCTGCTGCTGCTGCTGGGGGTTGCTCTTGGCTTGTGGGGACAATTGCGGGCTGCGCGCGAACGATTGGTGGTTAGCAGTGCTGTGTGCGTGTGTTTGTGTATGTGTGCGTGTGTGAGACCACGAATCGTTAGTCGTACTAATAATTTGAAAAATAATGAAACTTGCGCTGACGACGTCGTCGTCGTCGCCGCCGCCGCCTGGTCTGGCAACGCTGCGCGCGTGTCGAGTGCGACAGCATGCGCCATTTTGTGCTAGCGTCGTTTGAAGCGCGCGCGCGCTCGCTCGCACGCACGCGTCGGCTGCTGCTGTTGCTGCTGTCTCGCTTTAACTTGCTTGGTTAATTTCGTTAGTTGTTGCCCAGACGTGGACGTTGACGTCGGCGGCGGCGGCGGCGTCAGCGGTGCCCTGCGTGAGTCTTCGTGTGTGTGTGTGTGTGTGTGTGTGTGTGTGTGTGTGCGCGTCCGAGCAGCTGTCCATATGTATGCCATGTTTCTGTTGATCCAATAAGGCTCGTCGCTGTTGTTGCTGTTGTTGTTGCTGTTGCTCGCTCGCTCGCACACACGCAACAAAATGAAACAACATTTATTCTATTAGACTGGCAAGTTTTCTTTTGCCTGCTCCAACTTGAGCCGTCCACACACACACACACACACATATACACACACACTAACACATGTCTGACACACTTCCTTGGGAAATTGCATTTGGCCGCAACAACGGCAACTGTGGCTAATTTGTCGCTGTTGCCAACTTGCGGCGCAGTGAAAGTGCGCAAATTAATTGCAGCAACAGCAAAATAAAACAACGCCACGCACAGTTTGACACAGTTTAACAGGCGGCAGTGCATGTCAAACTGTCAGCAACGATCAGCAGCAAGCCAGCTTGCGAGCGAGCTAGAGCGAGAGCGAGATAGCCTGCTGCCTGCTCATTAAGTTGCTGTAAAAAACTGTCATCATTCCAATTGGAATCTTATGCAGACACACACGCACACACATACACACAGGCCATACCCTGTTCGCACACAGCAAAATTCATAGCGAAATTCATGTGGCACGGCAAATGTGTTGTGCCCGCTGCCAGCGACGCGCATCAAATGAAAATGTTGCCCCAGCAAAGCCAGCAGCAATGGCGACAGCAAATTGCAGTGCGCGCACTATGGTTGTCTCGCTCTGGCTGGCGCGCGCGCGTAGCCAGTGCACACGCGCTGACCAATCAGCGCGTAGCTGCCGCAGCAAAATGGAGTTGAGCATGTCTGTGGCCGTTGTTGGTGTTATTGCTGCTGCTGCTGCTGCTGCTGCCGCTGCGCTGCCAGCGCAATGAATTAGTGTTCGTTAAATGTGGCAGCCTGGCGTTGACG